AAGAGACCCCCCCCGAAATGAGACCCCCCTCCCTTTATTACGAAATCTGGAGTACTCGATTTGAATGAAGCACTGTGGTCTCCGTGATTATCCCGCCTTCCTTATGCCCCTCATCTCTCCTGCTTGCCTGCTACCGTGCCTCCTATCTCGTCGTCCTGCCTGGCTGCTCGGTGGGGAGCTGCGATCTTCGAAACTGTCGCCACTTTCGAAGGCTGCTGGGGGTTCCAGCGGAATGACGTGCTACGCAGATTCGAGAGAACGCGTTTCACGGGCGCTTGCCTTGGGAACATTTGGTGGCGCGTTTCGAACCGGGGAGGGGGCCCCCCCCCCACCCCTCGGCGCCGTCGATCAAAACCAGGGGGACTCCCTTCCCCCCAAGCCCCCCCCCTTCCCGAACCACCACCCCCCACCCCCTGCGCCGGCGCCGGCGGCCGCCAGCAGCGCCGACGGCGGGGACGCACCGACGATGACCAGAGACAGCCCAAGGGGGGGGCAGGGGGATGGGGTTCAAACCCCCCCCCCTCGGGCGCCGAGGGGGGGGGGGTCAACCCCCCCCTCTTGGCGCCGGTGCCGGCGCCGGCGCTGGCGGCGGCCAGCAGCGCCAGCGCTGGCGCCAGCGACGGCGGGCACGCAGCGACGATAACCACCACTGCCACCAGCACCACCACTACCACCACCACCACCGCCTCAACCCACCACCACCACCACCAACCCACCACACAACCACCACCACAACCACAGCCACCACCACCACCACAACCACCACCACCACCACAACTCACCATCACCACCACCACCACCACAAAAACCCACCACCACGACCACCACCACCACAATCTACCACGCCACTACCACCACCGCCACAACCACCACCACTACCAGCAGCACAACCCACCACCACCACCACCACCGCAAACCACCACACCACCACCAACACCACCGCCACCACCACCACCACCACCACCACCTCCGCAAACCACCGCCACCACCACAACCCACCACCACCACCACAAACCACCACCACACAACCACCAAGCCACCACCACCACCACCACAACCACCACCATCACCACCACCACAAACCACCACCACACCACCACCACACCACCACCACCACCACTCACCACCACAACCGCCACCACCACAATTACCCCAGTGCGACCCTACCTAGAAGTTGGAGCTCCTAGGAAAGCAGCATTAGTTGCTATGCTATGCTATGCTATGCTATGCCATGCTATGCTGCGCTATGCTATGCTATGCTATGCTATGCTATGCTATGCTATGCTATGCTATGCTATGCTATGATGCGCTATGATATGCTATGCTATGTTGCGCTATGCTATGTTATGCTGTGCTCTGCTATGCTAAAGCTCAGCGAAGCTAAGATGTAGGTAAGCTCAGCTAAGATAAACCTAAGCTAAGATGAAGCTAAGCTAAGCTAAGATGAAATAAGCTAAGCTAAGATGAGATAAGCAACGCTACGCTAAAGGGACGTAACTGGGGGAACCGCGGGGCGGATACTGGGGGAACCGCCCGGGGCGCTTTCCACTGCCCGGCCCCTGTTAGCCCAGAGAGTAAGAACCCTTCTAGGCAGAGGCTAAGTAGGGAACAAACCATCACACCACCACCACCACCACAACCACCACCACCGCCACCAACACCACCACAACCCACCACCACCACCACCACCACCGCCGTCTTCGTCGACGCTCCCCGCCGCCGCCCGCCGCCGCCGCAGGCACCGGCGCTGGCCCAGAAAAGGAAATCGTCGTCCCCGCCTCCGCCGCTGCCGCCAGCCGCCGCCGACGCAGGCCCTGGCCCGAGGAGAGAGAGAGAGAGAGGAGAAGTAGGTGAGGAAGGTGGGGGGTACATATACATATACATATACATATACCTATACCTATACATATACAAATACAAATACAAATACAAATACAAATACATATACATATACATATACATATACATATACATATACATATACATATACATATACATATACATATACATATACATATACCTATACATATACCTATACCTATACCTATACCTATACCTATACATATACATATACATATACATATACATATACATATACATATACATATACATATACATATACATATACATATACATATACATATACATATACATATACATATACATATACATATACATATACATATACATATACATATACATATACATATACATATACATATACATATACATATACATATACATATACATATACATATACATATACATATACATATACATATACATATACGTATACATACATACATACATACATACATACATACATACATACATACATACATACATACATACGGGTTCGACCCCCCCCCCTGTCACGGGAGGGGGCGGGGTTCGAACCCCCCCCCCTCCATCCAGAAGGGGGGCGGGGGTCCGGTTCCAACCCCCCCCCCTCCAAGCGACCACAGAACGCGCTTTTTCGCAGATTCAGACTAGCCCTCGAGGGGCTGCGATCTGCGAAACTGTCGCCACTTTCGAGGGCTGCTTGGGGGTCCAGCGGAGTGACGTGCTACGCAGATTCAGACTAGCCCTCGCCATCCCTGTGGGGCGGTGATTTCCGAAACTGTCGCCACTTTCGAGGGCTGCTGGGGGGTCCAGCGGAGTGACGTGCTACCCAAATTCAGATTCGACCTCGACATCCCTGTGGGGCGGTGATTTCCGAAACTGTCGCCACTTTCGAGGGCTGCTGGGGGGTCCAGAGGAGTGACGTGCTACGCAGATTCAGACTAGCCCTCGCCATTCCTGTGGGGCTGCGGTCACCACTT